CGATAGGGGAATTTTCAATCCTGAATGTGCCACGTGGCTCATTCTCTCACATTTAGAGAATACACCCCACGGCATGTTAACCTTTATAGGTTTTTCTTCCATTTTTGTGTGCTGGTGAGAGATGATTTTAAATGTGGTTGTTGATACTGTTTCAGAAACCCTACTAAATTACAACTGAATGGTTCTTTTTTGAGTAGAATAATCAAAGCAAATGGAAAGTGAATCAAAGCTGTTCCTCCAAGGCCTTCTTTATGGCTCCTTTTTACAGTGAGCTATATCTCAAATTTCCCTCTTTGGAGAGTAAAAAGAAAATAGTAGGGTATAAAAAGGGCTCAGTGACACAGCCTTTCACCACCGCAATGTTTTTTGATTGAGGTTTCTTTAGTCATTTGGGTTTACGCACATGCAGGTATGTCCAAAACCAATTTGAGGAATCATGTCGAGACCTAAGTTCCCTGGTGCTCCGCTTTATTCAAATGCCAAGAAGTTTTCTCCAGTTTGATTTTTATGCATTTTATATAAGCATGTCATTGACCAAAATGTGATTTCTTACTGTGTACGCTGGTTCACATGCAGACATAAACGTTGATCTCTGGGATAGCCATGGGTCAAATTGCTTTTCTGACATCTTAACAGTTACATGGATAGCTTGGATGAGTAACACAGGAACATTTTTTGAAAGTACTCTTAGAATTGTTTTTTTTAGATGCTCTTAAACATTTTTTCCTTTATAAAGACTGAATTATGTTTGAATAAGTTAACCAGCAGCATTTGAAATTTAAATAAATAAATAGCACAGTGTGTGACTGTGAATATATGTGTATGTGTCTGCCAAGCAGAAAATAGAGAATATCTGTTAGGTCTTTAATGCCACCCGATACTTCCCATTTCAAAAAATTCGTTTTCAGTTTCTTGTAATTTGGCTAGTCTTTAATTGCCAACTGGGGCTAGATATTTTTTTAGAAAAATGTGTCTAAAATACTTGTTCTTTCTGAGAATGAGAAGCACATCGTACATGTTGGCAAATTCTGGTGACCTTTTCTTTGGCTGGGAATTTGCATCTTCACATTTCTCAGTAAGAACTGTTGTGTAAAGGTTGCGCCTTTTTGCCATTCCTCTGAAAATACACCAAGATTTGGCTTAGTTACACACCTTTGAAGAACTGCAGTGCTCACACACTCATAAGAGGCTTCCAGTTCGTAGCACCTGAAGTTCCTGTTGGGCACGATTCTGCCCATGGCTAACCAGGACCAAGCCAAGGGCAAGGACCTTGCAAAGGTGCTGGTTCCTGAGCCGAGGACTGCCTCCTCTCGCGGTGTTTTTTGGGCTCCCATAACTGTTGGGCTCCAGCTGCCTGGAGAAGGATGCTTCCTGATGTAAGTGCCAAGAAGGGAGGAGAAACATAGGATGAACGAGTGGTATTGGGAACCAAAGGAAATAAGAGAACTGGTGGCCAAATTCCCACAAACGGGAGTCATATGAAGAAACGAGAAGGCAGGAAGAAGGAAGCTTGGAAGAGGTGCAGACAGCCCTGTGGGACTTTGTGGCAGATGTGTCTCACTTGGTGTCACCGTGATTGACACAGGTGACAGTTGGCTGCCGGTGTGTTTTACTCCAGTCACGCAGCAGAGTTGCAAAGCCCCAACGCTGTGACATTCGTCGTCCGAATGCCGACCATCCTTTTCCAAGGACAAAACAAGGATCTGCTGATAAGAGCAATACTGTGCCATTGTGTAATTAAAAATTATACCATGATGTCATGCACAGCAGGCCGAACTAAGGTGACACAAGCGACTTCAATCCTTGCTTTTCCAAACTTGTCAGTGTTTGACGTTGCATCCTTCATTCTCTTAAGAAATACACAAAATGAATGTTTGCCATTAGATTAATCTGTTCTTAATGGCATTCTGAATAATCCTCCCAATACTTAACACGTAGCGTGCGTCACTGTTGCAACATAACGTGCTAGAAGGATTCTTGGTGCAAATCTGCCATACGTCAATATCTGGAGCCTTGCGATGCTCGCTTGGGTGCACCGGTCGTGTGCTCAGTGAGTGGGGTTTTCCTCTTGGTGGGATGAAGGTTGGAGCTGCACAGTGGCTGCCTCGAGTGCTCCATTTGCAGAGCAGATGTGGGACTCATCCTGGCTGGTGAAAACATTGCGAGGTCATCTTTAACCATAGCAAATTACAGCAAATTGGATTCCAGTTGTCCTTCTTTTAGGCTGTACTAAGCAGTAATGTACTTGTACCATTGGAGTATCAGATTCATGAACTCTTAGGGCTGTTCCCTACTGTAAGACATGCTCTGACATCCATACTACGTTTTTCTTTACCTTTTCTCTACTTCCATTTCCTTTGGTAGAGATCTTTTGATTAAATGAAGACTTCAGAAATTGTCTATTTTTCATTACCATTATCATTTAATCAAGCTATCCTTGAACATTCAAACTTAAGGTCTCTCATCTATATCCTCTAGCCCTCCATGCAGTTTCAGTCTTAATAACTTTTTCCTGATATCAAGTTTAAATCTGCTTTCCTAAGCTCTTGACCATTTGTTCTTTATCACAAGTGTTGCTGAGCACTCATAAAATCCCCTCTCACAGAGACATTGCTATCTAGCAGCTTTCTCGTAATCTGTGATTACTTTATGGTTCATATCAAGTAAAATAGGGATATATTTTTGATTCTTACCAGTAGTAAGTGAACCACTGTTGTGTTGTCTATGCCAAGAAATTAAACCCTATTAGAACATGTCAACCACCAGGACTCGGTTCTCTAATCAAGGTAAAGTTTGCTGGAGATTAAAGCACAGGTCTTTAGGAGAGATCTGAAATGGTGATTAATGCTAGGTACTGGAAAACAAAAATTCTTGATTACACCTTTTGCTAGCACTGACCTTTCCTGCAGCCTCACGCAAGCAATTTAGTCTCTGGTATAGGAAACACTTAGAAACACCATCAGGCTATTGTGGGATGAGGAGTTGCTGTAGGTCAGCACATCTGAGCTCTAATAATTTGCTGCTAGTTTGTACATGGCCATTCTCCCTCTAAAAGTTTTCTTCCATTTATGTTGGTTTAGCCATTTTTAAGTGTGTGCTGGATTTTAAAGTGTTTAAAAGTTGTTCTCTTCACTGAAAGTTGCTTGTTTCAAATTCAGGCTGTTCTACCTCTCCTTTCCCATCTGAAAGAGGTATAATGATATTTGGCTGCATGGTGCAGGTATTGTAAGAGTTAATTCACATTTTTTGTGAGTTCTATGCATCAGAAGTGCTGTGTAAATAAGCTTATAAAGAAAGAGTGGCATATTTATTGGCAGACATGAAAAGATACGGTAAGTTAGTTTAATATGGTCCCATCAACCTTGACAACATTCCCTTAAGGATATCAGCAGTTGTCACTCGAAGCTGGTGACATTAGGTCTGTTATTTCAGAGATAAGCTCGGTGGTGGTCTCTCTGCTCTCTTCCCAGATGACTCCGCTGTTTCCCTGTTTGATAAAGCCGATTCACATTATCGATCTGTGAAAGCCAGGGAATAAAACTGCCATCCTTTGCACATCTCTCCATGTAGCATCTCTCTTTGGAGAGGCAATCTCCAAACTAAACTGCGAATGGGTCCCCCTACGGAAGCAATAGCTGCATCGGCCCAAATGTGTCACTCCAGACCGATGGAGTCAACACCGCAGAGGCTTTAGGGAGCAAATTGTTCAGATTTGAAAGAAATCATGCTACTAAAATTGACAGGAACTCCTCAGTCAGTCCTCTGAAGGGAAGCTGCCTCTTCTGGAGTGCTGAACGTGGAGGTAGAAAATTACAGACAATTAAGCAGACCTCATTGAAGTGTTCAGGAAAATGGTTAGTGGTAAGGCATCTCTAATAAATGCCAACAGCGATGGAACTGTTAGAGATGTCTCATGCAAAAAAAGTATTTCCTAGTGAAGAAGAGATGGCTTTTAGGGTGCGGAGGGTGTTGCTATGTATATTGGGAGATCCAAGGTCAAACACTTGCTTCTGCTGCTGCAGCTGTGTAAAACAAACATAAAAACAATCCCAGCCTGTCCAGGAGTGGGATTAAAATATAAATGATTGCGAGGCACTTGCGTGCATCGATGAAGAGGGCTGTGTAAACACCATACACGTTTCTCCCTTTTGGACAGCATGTCTCAGTCCATTATGACTCCAGATACTCAATTCCTAATTATTTTGTTACATACAATTTTGAAAGGAAGACTAATTTCATTGCCTTGGATGTAACTTAAAGAAATGATGAGGTAATTTCTAGAAGAAACTCCTATGTGTTAAACAGATGGCATCACTGAGATAAAGATATTTTGCAGGAGGAGATGGCAAACATTTTGTGTTAAAATATTCCCGGAATCGGCATGCCGTTCTGCATACGCAGGAATGGGATCCTAGGATGAAACAATAACACATAATAAAAATATAGCATAATACAGACATACATAATGCAGTATGACATCAGCATAATACATATGCATTGCTTTTTTCAGTGATATCTCTAGACTTTGAGCTGGAATGTACTGCTGTTCAGTTTAGAGGTGGGAAACCTGGGAATCAAGTGACCAACCCCAGAAAGAACTTTGCCTTTTCAAAGGGATTTCTGACATACTAAATTTTTTATGGGGTTTTAATTCTAAAAAGACATCTTTCCAGTATGTCTCCAATAGAGCAGTCAGTGATTTTTGGACAGATAAACACAAGTCGTGCCTGCATTGTGATTTTCACCAATTCCGTATTTCATCTGTTCTTCTCCAGCTGCTGAGTCTTTGTCTCACCAGCTGTTGGCATTTAATGTATTTTTTTTGAAGGCTACTTTGTAGACCTTTTCTACTCTTCATGCCCCATGTCATTGCAGCCTGTGGTCATTCCCCCACTGCTGGTGCTTGGCTCTGAGATGTAAGAATGGCAAAGGCAATGCTAACACATTTAGAGTAACTACGTGGTTGAACTACATTGCATTCTTCCCCTTCTGTTTTCCAGATTTATCCAGGAGATAGAGCACGCCATGGAGCTTGGCCCAACCAAGCAGTGTCCGCTCCGTGAATTCCTCACCATGTACATCAAGAACATCTTCCTCAATCAGGTCCTGGCTGAAATCAACAAAGAGATCGAAGGCGTCACAAAGGCATCTGATCCCCTGAAAATATTGGCTAATGCAGATACCATGAAGATCCTAGGTGTGCAGCGGCCCCTTCTGCAGGTAGGAGCTGAGTGAACTGCCAATACATCCCTTACTGTCCCTGTCTAACCATGACCTGGTTATATATCTGATGAGGAAAGACATGGACCTGCTCGAGTGGGTCCAGAGGAGGGCTGTGAAGATGATCAGAGGGCTGGAGCACCTCTCCTATGAGGACAGGCTGAGAGAGTTGGGGTTGTTCAGCCTGGAGAAGAGAAGGCTCCGGGGAGACCTTCTAGCAGCCTTCCAGTACCTAAAGGGGACCTACAGGAAAGCTGGAGAGAGACTTTTTACAAGAGCATGCAGTGATAGGACAAGGGATAATGGCTTTAAACTGAAAGAGGGCAGATTTAGATTAGATATTAGGAAGTTCTTTACTGTGAGGGTGGTGAGACACTGGAGCAGGTTGTCCAGAGAAGTTGTGGCTGCCCCATCCTGGCAGTGTTCAAGGCCAGGCTGGATGGGGCTTGGAGCAACCTGGTCTAGTGGAAGGTGTCCCTGCCCATGGCAGGGGGGTTGGAACTCGATGATATATCTTTCAGGTCCCTTCCAACCCAAACCATTCTGTGTTTCTAGGGTGCTATGACCCACAAAAGTTGTCTCAACATTGAGTCTGTAACTACGATCTATTCCAGTGTCACTGTTAGTATAGTTTTTCCTCCTCTGATCTCTGTATGCAGGTATGTAGGTATACATGGGCTCTTACGTTTTGCTAGTGCCAGAAGGTATGCCTCTCTTGCTACATACGTCAAGCTAACGGCATCTTTGCATCTTGCCTGGTACATGCCATTTTTAAAGCACCTTGTAGCCATCATGACAAATTGTTACCGACTGTCTTAAACCACTATCACAGAAATTTATTTTCAAGATTTTCAATAATGTGTGCCTCTCTTAGAAGTTCTGGGGACACTTGCAAATCATAGAGCCATGCGATCGGACTAAATACACATGCCGAACTACCAGGAGGAGCAAAGATGAGGTCTGCTGCCTCCCAAATGCAGCGTGTTTGTGATTGATGTGATGCTGTTGCAGCGAGGCAGCTGTATTGCTTCCTCAGCCAGATAAGAGAGATTTGAGAGATTTGGCTTTGAAGTTAGAGTATTTATATGAGAAGTCTCTTCTGAAACAGCTTTTTTGAACGCTGATGCAGAGTGGCGATAATAGCAACAAGCACAGTTCTCATCCCAACTACATGGGTAACAGGACAGTATGGAAGCCCACCCAAAAATTCTGAATTATACGTGTTGCATGGGACTGAAAGTTATGAACTGACACTCAGCTCTGACTCTTGCTGTGATTTGGGTCAAGCTCTTTAAATCCTTTTAAATTATTCCCTCTTACCTATAAAATCATCCCTTCAGGGATGATTTTATATTTGCAAAGTTCTTAGGAGGTAGCACGCATCTCCCAAGGTTTATGTAGCCGCTTTCCATCTTAGTTTATAACTGTAAAACATCTGTATATTATAATTATATATAATAATAGTCATAACTACTATTATTGTTATTATTTGGGGGAAATTGCTAGGATTTTTGCATGTATTTATGGTCACTAACGCTATGCCTGTCTGGGTTCCATGGGTATGGGACGGTTCTTTCAGAGGCAAAGCAAAATCAGATTCCAGCGGAGAGTTTTCAGAAGTCTTTAGAGGGAAACAGCTTCCTTAGAAGGGGGCCAGAAGTTTCTTTACATGGTTTAGAAAATCTCCAGGAGTTAAAATGATGTTTTGGAGCAGCATATCATCCCTGAACTATTTCCTTCCCAAGCTTTACAAGCCTTCTCAGAAACTCAGTTATCAAAACCAAAAAGTGGAAGAATACAACCCATTGTAAATAATTACTAACATAAACATTGTTTCAGCCTCAACGTTCACTGAGCACACACCAGGTAAGATGAGAACAGGGCATTGCCTCAAGAGCACGTTGTGTCTGAATATCTCACATTGAGCTCTCTCGTGAGCCGAAGGTGGATTTGATGCTATTTGTCTTTTTTTTTCCCTTGGTGCTGCAAAAGTAGTGCCGATCAGATGTAATGTGTAACAGTAAAAATGGAGCAGGAACGGTCATGAAACAAGAGCAGAGTATTGAAAGCAACTTTAATGAGAGCAGAAGGGGTTTTGTAGATCAAGAACTCGGAATGCATTGGCTGAGCGGGAAAGGCAGGAGCACAGCAGTGAGGGGCTGTGCCGGTAATTCCTCACCATTGCGAGTGCCTAGGAAAAAAGAAATATGCCAAATCCATGACACACATAGAAGTCTTCCAAGACTTGATTTTCAGAACAGCGTTGAAAAGAACAAATCTTAGGGCAGTTTTGGCTTCCACAACAGGGAAAGTATCTGAAGATTGAAACAATGAGTTACAATAGAAAGCCAAATTCTACTTATTCATGGTCTGAGGAGTCAGTTGAAAATGTTACTTGAAGTTCGTTTTGAGAGATCTGCAAATAAGTAGGTATATTCTGTGTTGTGTTTTGTATTGTTTGCCTTTCTTTTGTTTTCTCTTATGAGAATTAAACTGAGTGAGAACCCAAACCCAGCCTGCGCAGGCGTCTGACCTTACTGAGAGCTGAAAATACTTTATGGTAATATTATCACGCAAGCTTTGGAGCAGGACTATGGAGGTTGTTAACCTTACAAATTTGTTTTGGATTCTTAATGCGATAATGTATTTTTGTGGATTGTGGCTTCATTTGTAGCTATGAAAATGCGTTCTATAATATCAATATATTTTCTTAAAGTTCATTTGGGGTTGAAGAGTCAGAATGGCTTGGAATTTTCTCATCCAGTTCCTATAATTTGTTTGTCATGATGGATGGAAATCATTTTGAACTGGAATTATTCTTGGTCAAAATGTACGTGGTCAGAAGGTCTGCCTATTCCCGACATTATAGAAGGGTAATTTTGTGAAAGCGAAGAAAAATTGCTGCCTCTTTGAACCAAGTCATCCAAATAGCTCCCTAAAATAATTTTATTGATTTTACATTAAAAGAAAAAAAAGGCTATTTCTGCATTGACAGTGCTGGAGCCTGAAATCTTTGCCCTCATCACCTCATGGGTACGATGAAAATACAGTGTGTGGCGTGAATGAGCCTTGTGCCTCTCTCCTGGCACTGTGTTACTTTTTCCTGCCTTATGTCATTCAGGGAGAGGTTCATGGTTCACCCATCCCACTCCTTGCTATCCTGAAGATCTTTCTGAAGCTTCTGCAGCAGGAGCCAGCGCTGTGATTTAACACGACTCAAGAATTTATCAGTTCCCACTGCATAGGCTGATAATAGCTGCTTTTTGATAACTATCAGCACATGTTTGAACTGAATTAGCTTATAGATAAGAGGTTTTCTAGCATCCTATGCCATCATGTCCTCACAGATGAATCATCCATTTCTGTAAAGATTATGCTTTAAAAAAAAAAAATTGTAGCTGCCCTTTGTAAATATTACATTTGACTGGGAGGATGGTCTTGTTTTCTATTCTTCCATCCTTAAATGTAAAATATTGTAAATCCTTTTCCTTTCAAGAGTGACTGAATAACCATGAAACTAATTTGTCTCAAAATTATTCTGCATTAAACTTCAGGCTGTAATTGTTTTAAATCAATACTAAATTAGGCTACAAGCAGCTCGACAGCTTCTTACAGCCTGTTCTTGTATGATTCATGTCAAGGTGATAAATCTTTCTGGCTAGGTGGTCACTACTTATACTGGCCTTAAAAATGTGTTGCCCTGGCTCCATCCAACAAAAAAGTGCATGTTGCTTCAACCTTCCCACTCTATAGCAGCAGAGCAGGATTTTTCCTTTAAAGCATCAGTGCGACCGTTGTTTCTTACAGAAGTATTGTGCAGATGATGGGCATGATGGTTTTCTGGCTGAAAATCCAGCGAAAAACTCCTTAAAAAGTCAGAGTGTGCAGCTGTTTGCAGGATAATGACTTGCTGGAGCTAATTATCCCATTGCCCGCACTGCTTATCCCACACACTATGTCACTCGCTTGTGACTTTCCAAGGAGACGTCATTGCTGGCTTTGGCATGTTTTCTTCCTGTCAAATTACTGGTTATTAAGAAGAAGAATGGTCACAGTGAGTGGCGTTTAAATGGTTCACCAGTAGTGATGGGTACATACTTTGATAGCGAGTGGATGTTATTAATTATTAGTGTAAACAAATTAGTTGTCTTTTCAGGCTGGCTTCCAACAATGAAAGTTCATTAAGGAGCGAGCATGGCTGATCAATTGAGTTTTTCCCATTCAAGGACAAGTGTGACTTTTGAGGCAGCACCTGTGGTTCTGGTCCTTTTTGTTGGTTTTTTTTGCAATGACATGATGTCTAAAACAGTATGAAGTGCTTTGCAGATGTTTTCATCTGTTGTGTGGTGTATCTGTTCCCATTGTACAACCAATATGTCAAGAGGTTAAGACCCACTGACTGAGTCTGTGTCAGAATTTCTAGCTGACTCTTCTTTTTCAGTTTGAACTGAGAGGCAAAATTATCTCTCCGTGGGAGTCTGAATCTCCCTATTGCTTTCAATATTTCTTTAGATAATTTTTCCTCTGGGGGGAACATTTACTGTGGTTACTGCCTTTTGTGGAAGCTTTTACAAGGCTCCCGTGTAAGTCATCTGCAGATCTGTAAGTTCTCCACTGAGGCTGATTGTGGAGCTCTAAGTTACATAAAAGCAATTGCTACCTTTAGGCAAACTGTTATGGCAGCGCTTCAATTTATTTTAAAAATCAAGTTTAACTTGCACATTCAGTAAAACCTAGGTAGGAGACAGTTTTATGTTGCATATGGACATACTGAAGCAGCATGCCTTGCAGGCAAAATTATTTTCTTCCTCTCCGGATCTGGAAAAGCAAAATGAGGTTGCACAAACCATCCCACTGATGTGACTCACGTTTGACTTGAAGGAAACAGTTGTATGTTTGAGGTCTCTGTAGCCTATTAACTCCTGCAGTTGCTGGGTATCTCTTCCATAGGTGGGTGCAATCCTGCGTTAGAGTCAGCCAGAATCTGTATAACCCTCGTT